CAGTAGTGTTGCATTGAAATAACTAAAATAGTGTCTTATCAATGTTTTCATGGTAATGCTTTGAATTCATCAGCTGATATTTATTTGAGCAAAATAATAGCTGTTCAATTTCCTTGTGGTCACCGAGTCTCTGAGTTCGGGCATTCAGAAATGGACCACTGGATTGAGGGGGCAGAAGTCACTTATTCTTTCTAGCCGGAAATCACTGTTTCAAAAAACAAGCTTGTGTAGATCATCCCTTGCTTTTAATACTAAACCATTACTTTATTATGGCTATAAATTCCTCTGAACACTGGCACTAAAAATTAAGTTCCTTCTTAATAGTTTTCATACATTCTATAGATTATAAAAGTCTAGTCAACCAATAACTTTTGCCAAATAACGCTTCCTAAAATTTTTGAATTAAAAAATTATATTTCAAAATAATTTTAATAGCTGGGACTATAAACAATAACTTGTGAGAATGTTGTATATATCTCCCCCCAGGACGCACAAATAAAACTGGACAAAAATTATTACAAATAAACCACTTGCAGTCTCCAGAAATTGGCCAAACAGTGTATGCTGAGAGGCATTTGTTCAAAATAGTCTCCATGAAACTCAGTAAAAAAGAGTGGCTACTTTAATTCACTCCTGTCTCTCAGCCAGTCCTGTGGCTCAGAAGTTGACCCCAGGTGGCAGGCAGTCCAGGGTGAGCTGGCTACTCAGCTGCCCTGCTGCAGGGAGATGGTTTCATAACTCGGAAACGTCCATACCCAAGTCCATACCCAAGGACACTCTTGAATACAGGAGATGACAGTGGGAATCAGTCAGGGAAGACTAGCATCACTAGTGGATACTACTTGCAAGCAATAAAAATGGCCAGCCAGCTAGACATTTAACAGAAAAATTTGTAGAAAGAGACAGCCCAAAGGGACCCCTCTAACATGACATTGGTGGTCTAGAAGTTGGTGGACATGTACATGTTTGTGTCCAATCAGAGAAACGAGGAGAAAGCCCTGAAAACCAGCAGTCTCTCTTGCTAAAATGTGGGCAGACTTACAAATTCCCTGAAATATGAAAGCAGTCCCAAATCACACACAATCCAAAGGCTAAAAGTGGAAAGGTTATTAACTCAATGAGTTAAAACACACAACTTCTGACCCAAATGTGGGTTGGGTTTACTAAGGTGCACTTGGACTGAAGGGTGACGTCTACAAACCTACACGTTAAAAAAAACCAAACAAACAAAAAAAAAACCACCAAGAAATAAAAAAAACCGAGCAGGGACATCAAAATCCGCATCCACCTTTGAGGTACAACAAAACTCCACAGGAATTAGTCTAGACAGTCACTACACAAACAAACAAAACAAAGCCTAGCACCAGCAACCAAGCCCTTACTTGGAAAGGATTTCATAAAATCAGGAATTGTTATAATGTATAATCTAAATTTCCAAGCATTTTATTTCAACAATAATCATAGTGCAAGCAGCACAAAAAACATAAAGACATGCAAACAAGAATGTGTGACCTCCAACAGAGGAAAAAACAAAAAAAAAAACCAGCAATAGGAAAGACTCTTTGAGGGGCCCAGTTTGTAACAAGCTGATAAAGATGTTCAAAGCGCGGTTGTTGTAAATATGTAAGAGAACTGAATTGGAATCACATCTAAAAATGACAAGACTTTGTTGAGAGAATACATGTGTTAATTAGCTAGATTTAGCATCTTCCATAATGATATATATATTTCAAAATATCATATTGTACATGGATAAATACATTATTAATTCTGTCATTAAAAAAAAATAAGGAATGTTTTATTCAACAATGACTCATTCAATAAGAATGCCATATAAAAGAAAATTACTACTGAAACTGAATGGGAATTCTGGAGTTGAAAACTACAATAACGGGGTGGGGTGCAGTGGCTATCACGCCTTGTAGATCCTAGCACTCTGGGAGCCGAAGCAGGAGGATTGTTTGAGGTCCAGAAGTTTGAGGGCCAGCCTGGAGCAAAAGTGAGACCCAGCCTCTAGCTGAAAATAGAAAAGATTAGCCGTGTGGTGGTACATGCCTATAGTCCCCACCTTGCTTTGGGAGCTGAGGCAGGAGGAATCCTTTGAGCTGAGGAGTTTGAGGTTGCTGTAGAGGTAGGCTGACGCCACAGACTTAGCCCTGGCAACAGATGAGGACTCTGGTCTTTAAAAAAAAAAAGAAAAGGAAAAGTAACAATAACTGAAGTAAAGAATTCACCATAGGGGACACTTGACAGATTTCACCTGGTAGAATGAAAGAATCAACAAAGTTAAGGATAGATCTATAAAAATTATTTAATCTGAAAATTAATTTTGCTCAGTATTTAACAAGTAACTATTGAACAATCTGAAAAAATCAAGAAACGTTTAGTCCCAAGATCACTTATTAAGTTTTCTCAACTCATTGCCTTCCTTTTCTCTTCATTATATTAAAAGTGGTATACTCTCTGCGGGCGCTGTGGCTCACGCCTGTAATCCTAGCTCTTGGGAGGCCGAGGCGGAGCGGATTGCTCAAGGTCAGGAGTTTCAAAGACCAGCCTGAGCAAGATTGCGAGACCCCGTCCTCTACTATCACATAGACAAGAAATTAATGGCCAACGATATATATATAAAAAAAAATTAGCCCGGGCATGTGGCACCATGCCTGTAGTCCCAGCTACTCGGAGGCTGAGGCAAGAAGGATCACTCGAGCCCAGGAGTTTGAGGTGCTGTGAGCTAGCTGACGCCACCGGCACTCACTCTACCTGTGCGACAAGGCGAGACTCTGTCTCAAAAAAAAAACAAAAAATTCTCTCTATGAACTTTGATGTTTACCAAAAGGTCATTGCTGAGCTAGCTTCCCGGTAGCGCTCTGAAATTCAAAGTCAGGCTCCTGACTATGGATGAAGGCAGGATTTAAGGCAACACCATCAATACTGGAGGATGTTTACTTATATACAGTTGGGATTCTCTGGCATGTTGCTCTTAATCAATGTCATTCTACTCTTGTGGGTATCCATTGTTCAGGGACAAGGTAAGTTGAAAACAGATGTGAATATTTCAGTCTCTTTCTCAAATGTGTTCATTGGTTGTGTGTGTGTATGTGTGTGTGTGTGTTTAGAAGAATAAATAGGTAAGCGCATTTTGAATGAGGGATCATAATATTTATTTGTGAAAATATTTTCTAATATGTGTTCTGGGGGGATACATTAAACAGGTCTGTACAGTTTTCTCCCTGGAGAGTCTTCATACAAATTTATATACCATGTGACCCACAAGACACAATTTCATCTTCATTTAAAAAGACCTTTTCACTTATGTCACTCATCTCAGTCCCATAACTTTCTGTTGGCCTAAAACCTCTAATGGAACAAGTGTAATTATGCTAATAACAGGAATATAGTTCACTGGTCAAAAAATTTGTCTGTAATGTGATTGTTCATTTAGTAAAATATTTTTATACTGTTTTTAAATTTTTTATTGCAAGTGAAACTTTGTGGTTTTCTACTAATAAAACATGGAAAGCTGTACAATGAGGGAAATCAGAAACCATACTTCCCAGTAGCTGTTGGAAAACGGTACTTATACTACTGTGACCAAAATTTTGTGACTCCTTCACGAAGGTACCTGCATTCCATTTATTGTACACGAGACGGATGGTCACCAAAAGTACCATGCCTCAGTAAGTAAATCTCTCTACAACTGCATGTGCATAAAGCTTCCAAAGAGCGGAGAGAGGAGAGCACATAAGTGATTACAATTAAGTCTTACATGACAGGAATAGGGCCAAGGGAAGAGGGGTTCCAGAAAAAAGACCAAAATAGAACTTTTCCATTATGAAGAGGTCTTCATGAAAGTCATATGAGAGAGGCATGTGTGACTTTACAAGAATATCTGTATAATTTGTGCATATTTTAATTATAAAAACTAATGGTAAATAACATGGAATATAGATATATATTCTATATATAGATATATAATCTATATATTCCAATTGTTGCACAATCATTTGGTAGTAGCTTCAGCTTTTCTTAAGATAACATTATTTTTGGATAGTTATGCAGTCTTGTTTATATATTGTAAAGATAATTTTAAATTGCTATTTTGACCAAATTTATGTTTCTCATTTACTTTATTTATCATTTTTGTGGTCCTTAGGAGAATGCTCTTACACTTATGTGGAAAACGGACATCGTCCAAATAATCCGAGAACGTATTTACAGGGTGAATCTGTAAACGTCAATTGCTATCCTGGCTACAGTCTTCCCCAAATGCAGACCATGATGACATGTACAGAGAATGGCTGGTTCCCTCCTCCCAAATGCCTCCCTGTCAGTAAGTAAAGTGCTCTGAGATCCCAGCATGTTTATAATTTTCTAAGGCTCATCTATATTAACTGTGGCAAAATGTTTATATCAACTTCATGCTTTGCAAATGGACCTGTTTAGTTTTATATTTTTTCATTGTATGTAAGTTGATACATATATTTTTAGTCTCTTTCTCAAATGTGTTGATTGGTTGTGTGTGCATGTATGTGTGTGTATTTTTAAAAGAATAAATAGGTAAGCGCATTTTGAATGAGGGATCATAATATTTATTTGTGAAAATATTTTCTAGTATGTGTTCTGGGGGGATACATTAAATAGATCTGTACAGTTTTCTCCCTGAAGAGTCTTCATACAAATTTATATAGCATGTGACCCATAAAACACAATTTCATCTTCATTTAAAAAGACCTTTTCACTTATCTCAGTCATCTGAGTCCCATAACTTTCTGTTGGCCTAAAACACCTAATGGAACAAGTGTAATTATGCTAATAAGAGGAATATAATTTGTTGGTCAAAAAATTTGTCTGTAATGTGATTGTTCATTAAGTAAAACATTTTTATACTGTTTTTAAATTTTTTATTGTAAGTGAAACCTTGTGGTTTTCCACTAATAAAACATGGACGGCTGTACAATGAGAGAAATCAGAATCCATACATCCCAGTAGCTGTTGGAAAATACTACTACTATCGCTGTGACCAAAATTTTGTGACTCCTTCACGAAGGAACTGGGATTACCTTTATTGTACACAAGATGGGTGGTCACCAAAAGAACCGTGCCGCAGTAAGTAAACCTCTCTACAAGTGCATGTGCATAAAGCTTCCAAAGAGCGGAGAGAGAAGAGCACATAAGTGATTACAATTAAGTCTTGTATGACAGAAATAGGGCCAAGGGCAGAGGTGTTCAAGCAAAAAGATCAAAATAGAACTTGTCCATTATGAAGAAGTCTTTGTGAAAATCATATGAGAAATGCATGTGTGACTTTACAAGAATATCTGTATAATTTGTGCATATTTTAATTATAAAAACTAACAATAAATATCATGGACTATAGATACACCTTCTTGCACACACATTTGGTAGTAGCTCCAGCTTTTCTGAAGATATACATTATTTTTGGATATTTATGCAGTCTTGTTTATATATTGTAAAGATAATTTTAAATTGCTATTTTGACCAAATTTATGTTTCTCATTTACTTTATTTATCATTTTTGGTGTCCATTGAGCGAATGTTCTTTACGTTTTGTGGAAACCGGACATCGCCCAAATAGCCGAGAAAACTATTTACAGGGTGAATCTGTAAACGTCAATTGCTATCCTGGCTACAGTCTTCCCCAAATGTGGACCATGATGACATGTACAGAGAATGGCTGGTTCCCTCCTCCCAAATGCCTCCTGGGGTCCATAAGTAAAGTGCTCTGAGACCGCAGCATGTTTATAAATTTTCTAAGGCTCATCTATATTCAACTGGCAAAAGTTTATATCAACTTCTTGTTTTGCAATGGACCTGTTTACTTTTATATTTTTCCATTGTATGTACAGTTATATAACTATTTTCTTGTAAATTGATAGCAAGAAATAAATGTATCTATCCAGTTAGAACACATTAGTCCAAAATACAGTAAAAGAATTTAACATGACACTTGCTAGTTAAATATCATATTGATATGTACATTAAACAACTTAATCATTTGACTCAAAATGATTATAAATTAAAGTTTAAAAAAAATAAATACAATGATAGCCAAAATGTCATGCATGTACTCAAGCATTGATATGACATATGTTACAGGAAAGCTATTTGTCACCCAAGTTTCTCTAGGATATATTACACTAGGAACGGGTCTTCTGGGACATTGTGCATGTTCTACTTTAGAAAGTTTCCCTATAGTACTTGTCCAGTATCAATAGTTCCTTCTGGTTTTACATCATTGTTAATGACTGGTGAGTGTAACATTTTTGTATTATTATTATTTTAATTTCAGCATATTAAAGGGGGTACAAATGTTTAGGTTACATATATTGCCCTTGTCAACCCCCCTCCCCCAGTCGAGCTTAAGTGTGTCATCCCCCAGACACATGTGCACCGGGGGCACCCATTAGTGGTTGAAAAATACCCATCCCCTCCTCCCGCTCCCGTCGCCCACACCTGATAACTGTTATCCTATAACTGTACACTTAGGTGTTGATCATGAAACCAATTTGTTGTGCGACGATCGTGCCGGTGCTTGTTTTCCATCTTGGGATACTTCAGTTAGTACGAATGTCTCCAGACTCTAACAGGAAAATACAAAGGTCTCTATCCACCATTGTTCTTCATAGCTAACATATGTCTAATAGGTTTCCATGGTATACATATACCACCATTTTTAATTAATCCACTCCCACGTATCGAGGAACCCTGTTGTTTCCACATCTTTGCAGCTGTGAATTGTGCTGCCATAAACATTCGAGTGCAGATGTAACATTTTAATATTTACAAATTGATTGGCTATAAAATGTTATAATATTATAGTGTTAATTTACATTTCTTTTATTAGTAATTGGGTTTAGCATGTTTATTCATAGTTTACCTGGTATTTAATTATTCCAAACTATGAAATACAATTTGATCTTTTTGTTGGTTTATCTTTTGTGGAGCTTTTGGTACTTAGTTGTTGGAATCTTAGTAATTGTGAATATTAATTCTCTTTCAAGGATATGTAATGAAAATGCATTTGTTTCTGTGGATACTATTTTTCTTTTCTTTAATATTTATTATGAATATAAATTGTTCATTTTTCTAAAACTTATCAATCTTTTTCCATAGTTAGTGTTTGTTTCTATTGAAAGTAATACTTTTCTTTAAAAACAGAGACATTGTACTGTATTTTATTGTAAAATGTTACAATATTTTCTCTTCCCTTTTTATATTTTTAATTCACTTTATGTTGATTTAATTCATGATAATAACTATATTTCCTTTTTTCAAATATGGGAAACCCAACATTTCCTCAGAAATCTTTTATTGTACCTTTCCATATAGTATATTATATATATGTATATGTATATAAAATGGCTGTTATTCTGAGTGCTCTATGTTACACTATTAGCACATAATTCTTCAACCAGTGTTCCAGTGACCCTCTGTCTTTGTTATATAGGTTTATAATAAGTTGGATATCTAATCATAACCTTTAGTCTTTGTCTTAGTTCTTTATCAGTCTCATTTTCTGAGTCTCGTCATTCAGTTTCTGATGACACTATTATTTTTATTTTTTTCTTGGTAGACTTTTCAAATAAATGTTAATGATAAATCTTGATTTGAAATGACATTTCTGCTGATATCAAACAGCCCAAATGTTGTCCCTCTTGCTTTGGTTTTGGAGCTGGCAGAGTCAACCACTTTTTTTTTTCTTTTTTTTTTTTGTTTTTTTTTTTTTCCTTCGTTGCTTCTTTTTTCTCTGGATCAAGTTATTAATAAGATTTTTGCTATTTTACTGTTCATGCTAAGCCCTGTACTTTAGTCAGGTTATTTATCTATTTTATAGTGACCATATAAATAGCAAGTCTTAGCTTTGTCTTCATAATGAGATGTCAACATTCCATTATCAATATATATTCAAGCATCAGTGAATCATAGAACTTTTCAATGGAATCAGATCTAAATCTTTCATTACCAGCAAAGAACACGCAGAGGAATTCAAATGTACTTTAGTGAGTGTAGTAGATATATATTGGAGTGTGTCCTGAGTGGTTTCTTTTGAAATAGACCCTGAAAAGGAAACATTAGCCAAATGGATCACAGAATACCAATTGACCTTAATTTGTTGTAAACTTGAATCAGTAAAGCCATTTCCA